GGGTCCCGTGATGCCTGCAAGTGGTGACACCGGGCTGCCAGCTGCTGGCGGGGTGGCCAGGTTGCCGCTTGCGTCACCAGCAAGGGGTGCTGCGCTGTCGGCAGAGGCGGTTGCGCCCAGCGTCGCCGGCTCCTGGGTTGTTGAAAGGGCCTGCATTAGGGCGTGGGGCGACCAGCGCAAAGCCTTTTAGCAATACACCACAATGGCAGGGGCCAGGGGCCGCAGTTGGGGAGCTGCATGGAGCAAAGGGGCATTACCCCAATGCTGGTATACCGGTACAACCGTAGGCGATGAACACGAAGCGCAAGGGCACCTACCCGCAACTGCTCGGACAGACGCAGCACGGCCGCCTCCTTGGCGTCTGCCGCCTGCTGGAGGCTCAGCGCACGCTCCTGAAGGGCGGTATGTAGGGCATTCCACGCAGCGGCTCAGTAGCTGAATACCCAATGGAAACAGTGCACAAGTTTGGGATCATTCGTAGCTCAACCGTCAACTTGCCTCTACGTCCCTAGCCGCGACAACAAGCCATTGTTTCCTAGCGCTCGCCTAGCTTACCTGGCTGGCTCGCAGCAGCTGCAGCACCTCCTGCAGCTGCTCCGTGAGCGCCTGCAGCCTCTCCGTGCTGGCGCCCAGCCCGCCACCCAGCCGAACGTCCTCCTCCAACTGCGTGAAGGACAGCCGACGTGCAGCCGGCGTCTTGACATGTGTCAACTTATCACGAAGTGGAAAGTTCACTTATTGCGCAAGCTACCGATCAGCGTGTAAGCGATGTCGTACATTTCAGTGGTGCTTTACCCACGTGCCCATACACAATTCGTCCCACGACATCCAGTCTTAGAAGTGACAGCCTACAACAAGCCACTAATGCCAATCCAGGACCCGGGCTTGCAACTTCCTTCCGGTGCGGTGTTGTGCAGCGTGTCACCCGTTAAATGCCAGTCGCGATAGGTGCGGAGCAGGAGAGAGCGGTCACAGGGGAGGCGGTGGCGGGAAGGAGCAAGGTGTTTTTCACGGCGGTGTGACAGGAAACGTGGTAGCTGCTGGCTAGCGGTCGGCACCGGTACTTGGCCCTAGGACACCCTTCCCATCCCATCTCGCATCCACCAGTCATGTGGAGAGGATTGGCAAGATGCCATAGTGGGAACAATGTTGGATGTGTAATTAACGAAGGGATTTCGTACTCGGTGCAAACCTGGTGGTTGGTTCAGATGCGCAAGATGTGCACTGGCTTGGCAATGTCAGCGGCCGATTGCGCGGGGATAGGTACTCTAGCAGGGGCCATGTTCTAGGAAAAAGCCCAGCAACGGCAGTTAGGGTCCTAGCAGTTTCATGCTGGGCGGAATGCCATGCCCTCATCCCCGTAGCTCGAAACGAAGAAACAGTATACGTAGTATACGGTTTCGGAGGAGCGAAGCGTAGGGAAGCATAGGCATTCCGCGTAACGCTCCAGGGAGGCGAATATCCGTGCTCGTCCTTCCCATAGTCCCATGGGTCGTTCTATGTTCAAGTTCGTTCGCTTCAGCGCATCGCGTCGCTATAGCACGTCGCTACTACAGGAAACAAATAGGTTAACGAGCGAAGTGGTAAGAGAGACAAGAAAGGAAAAGCACTCTGTGGTTCGATTAATCAGTAACTTGTCGCGTCGGCGGTCGTTCATCGTCGGCTTGTCTGGATGCTTTCTAGCTCGACGATCGCCCCATCTCTGGGCTATTATATCTAGCTCGACGATCGCCCCATCTCTGGGCTATTATACTTCATTTTTTATGGATCCAGACATGTACGTGACAGAACATGGATTATCGCGCACTTTCTTACCAAACTCAGCACCGCGTTGCTTTGCCCTGCTGACACCTTTACTTCGCAAATGCGGTTGGAGACGGACGTGGGGATTGTTTTATAGCCAAAACCTTGCCTGTTAGAGCCTAAGAAGAGGGTCAAGGCGAGCACCATGGAAAGCGCGTGCGAAAGACGTTTAAGCGGATTTTGTAAAGGCGCTAGATCCGTTGTCGCGGTTCAAGGAAACGTGGTCGTCAGTGCATGGAGACACGATGTTGGCTAGCAGTCGCGTAGGATTTGGCTTGGTTGAGGTGTGCAGTAGCCGTCCTTGCTTGGGTTTCGGGAATAGCGGTGCTCGAACGTGATGCGGGTACGCCACGTCCTTGAATGGGTCACCTTTCAGTGTAGACGTAGACCGTCGCTCTTCAAACCGCCAAGTAATCTACCCACGCCCTTCCGCTCCAAGCACGGCACCTACTCCATCCTGTCATTGCAAGTCCCTCGAGTAAAATGGCTGTTACCCGCGCTGGGCATGGCTACCCCTGCCCTTCACCGTGCAATGCGTTCGTGTCCGTGCCCTTCACCGTGCAGAGCCTGTCTCGCAGTGTAAGTTCTTCCCAGTGCAGGACGCCCTTCCCCGCGCTGTACCGACCTGTCTCCCCATGCCCTGCCCATGCGACTGTCCTTACCCGCGCGGCGCGCGCTTGTGTCCCCTGCCCTTCCCCGGTGGCGGCTGCCTCCCAATACCATAAACCATAGAGCTGCCCTTCCCTGTGTGCTTCCTGTGCAGCGAATTTGCGGGCCTCATGCGGCCTGCCATGGGCCTCGGTGCCCTTTCATGTGCAGTGCCTGCCCCCAAATGCCCTCGGCTGTCCTTACCCGCGAGCCCCTGGCCCTTACCTCCAACGCCTTCACTCCTGCATGCACATGTGTCAGCTTTCGGGCAGGGCGTGGCCGCTGATGGCATGGCCGAGTGTAGCTGAGCAGGGCGCGGTTTTATGCACGCACGCATTGGTGTCGGTACTCGGGCAGGGCAGGGATGCATGCGTACATCACCACGGTAAACGGGCACAATGGGTCTGCGTACCCGCATGGCAGCCAGTAATCGTGCATGATGAGTATGCATACATGTAACGGTGCCAGTTTTTGGGGCAGGTGGTTATGAATTCAGAATCGGCGCTGATGCCCGGATGGGTGCCATAGACACGGATGGGAGAAGGGTGATCTTGCACGCACGGGGGCCTGTTCCTGGCAGAACGACTGGATGATCGCCGAGAGAGGCGAGGATGCATGTGCAGGTGGGTGTCAGTGACTATCAGGGCAGGGATGCCTTCATGCATGGGCAGTAAAGGCGAAGGCTGCATGCGCGGGAAGCCATTACTTTGGTATTGTGGCGGTGCATGCCCAGCGCATGAGCGTGCACACTGTTGCCTGGTGGTGATCCAAGGAGGGAACTAGGTGAAAAGGCAGGTTCGGGGACGGGGTCATTCGCGAGGGGCGGAGAAGGAGGGGCCATGCATTCACGCGTCGGAGTTCATGCATGGTTGGGCGCAGGTGGTTGGGAAGGGCAGTCATGGGAGGATGTCTGCGCACTTGAGCACAGACAGCTGGAAAGGTAAGCATGCGCATGTGGGTGCCGGTAACTGGCACGGCATGTACGGCCATCACTCGGCTTTGCAGCATATATAGATATTTGTAGCCATGAATTGGTTTGTTGCCAACTAAGATGCTGTCACAGATGCTTTACTTGCTTACTTGGGCTTCAGGAGTAGCAGAGCCCGAGCGTGTTGCGTGCGTGTACGCCACATCCCGTCGTTAAGCATTGGACAGGTCTTCACCTAGTGTGTACGCAGATCCGTTGCTTTCTGGAGGACAAGTGTTCTTCCGAAGCCCTTCCCTGTGCGTCGCCCGTTTTGCACACCACCACCTAGCTCGTAAGGTGCCTAATTTTTGGAGGTACCAAATTTGGGACAGTCACTGTTTTGCCCAATGTCATCACGTACAAAGCTCTTTTCGCTGTACTTCCGCTGGCAAAGCTTCTTATTATATTGAGGTAGAGGTCGATCGCGAATTGGTATTGTGACTTATGAAGCGTAACTAGCGTACTTGGCGAAAAATGCATATCGCGGCTTCAAAAATTTGGGACACTTAACAACTGGACCATCAAACTCGCACTTATGCGGTTAGCGCGCGCCCCATTGGTGCCTGGTATGCTCTTTTAGTTGTTATATATGGCTAGGAGGGGCCCGAGCCCCAAACGCGGATAGAAAGCGAACCATAGCAGTGCAATGTCCGTCCAAGTCATCAGAAGCACAGCCATAGCCGCAACCATCGCCTCCAAACCTCACTCCCAAAGCATAACGTGGAAAGGATAATCAGTGGACCGAGCCTGCCTTCTGGGCTGCGAGCGCCAGAACGCGTGGATATTGCCGACAATCGGGTTGACATTTTGACGCTAACAGCACCAACGACGTTCCTAGGCCCACAAACGGACGTGGGTGAGCTCCGTATTAATGTATTAAGAGATTAGGACGGCCGGTTCGTAGTATACTTGCATAAAACGGCATTTTTTGGAGGTTGTCCCAACTTAGGTCGCCGCAGCGATTTGGCTGGGAGTTTACTTCGGGTCACAATGTTCACCAATACCCACCCAGTGACTGGCTGCTTCAATACAGTTATTACTTACTTATACAGGATCCTTTCTATCAAATTAGAATTGCGAATGGAGAGTTATGCAGCGTACGAGAGCCCAAAAACAAAAGTGTCCGAAGTATGGCACCATACGAGCTACCGGTATATGCCTGTGCTTTTCTTTGGCTTTCACAAGCCGTTCGTGCTTCCTACCCGTCTAGCAGCTTTGGCGACAATCGCTGCCATTCCTGTTGTGCTTTAAGCAGTCTTCTGCATCCTCGCGCCCTACATGCATGCGTGCAACCGCATGTCCTCGACATCACCTCCCTCCCGCGAGCTACGGGCAGCTCCCGCCGAAGGCGGGCCTTACTAGTGCATATCTTTTGTGGCGGTAAGGTTCAGGCATGTTAGGGAGGATAGGGACAGTCCCCCGGGTCGCGCATCTTGAAAGGAGCCGCTTGCCTTATCATAGGGAATATTCAAAGTTACTGAAGTTGCTGATTAGGAAGTTAATCGGTGCCGCGCTCAGGATGCGGCACATGTACTATAACCGCCACCCGCGTTTTCCGTCTACCCATTCCTGCATAGCCCAGCGCACAGGACAGTTCAAACGTAATAGTTCAAGAGACTAGCAGTCCTTGTACTTCCGGTTCTTGTTGCCGCAAAACACGGGTGATTCCGAGGGACCATAATCAAATTCGGCAGAGCCGAAACCAAGCAAACCAAACAGTACCAGTTTAGGATTCTCCCCTTGTTAGCCGTATACTTCTTTCGTGAAAGCTTTGTGCTTCAGCCTGCTCTGATCTTTCCTGCCGGCGTTGCGCGCGACAGCCGCTTCCCACCATGGCGGCACCAGCCACGGAGCAGAAGCCATGGGAGGGAGGTGTGCTCCTATACTGCGGTGGAACGGACTACGCGCAGGTGTGGACAATGTTGCGCACGGATTCGAATTGAAACAAACAAAGCCGATGGACGTGCGAGCTAATGTCCAAGCCCTCCCTCTTGCTTTGCAGCTTGGACGGACTGGCGGCAAGACTAAGAAAGAGGATCTGGACAAGGAGTCAAACTACCCTAACCTGCTGCGCCCCACGCGGCTGAAGACCTTCAATGTGCGGTTGCTTCAGTATCTGCTAAGCTACCTGTCAGGCGGGCCCGTTTGTTCTTTTTATTTCATGTTTCTAACGCACTTATTAATCCTGCTTGGCATTCTACTCTCTAATCTTTGTCCGCAGGATGTGAAGGTTATGTTCATCGCTGCGGGACCAGCGGCTTGCCACTGCTTTGCCGGGGACTCGGCGGGTAACCTTTATAGCTGGGGAAGAAACGAGGTAAGGGGACAGGTGTTTGCCCACTGCATGCGAGGGAGCTGTATGAAAGCGAAGAAAGCCGGGTGAAGAAGTTCACCAAAGTGTTCTTCCTGTGAAAAGCTGTCAGGGATGGGGTAACATGCGCCTTGACGGAGGCTGCGCCGGGACAAAGCAGGGGGAACGCAGGGTCTGTGACCTGTAACTGGCGGGTGCAACACTCGTTGTTGCACCCGGCGAGGCGCATTGCCACTGGAGTACCGTCTTCTTTGTATTGCAAGCGTCTCAGCTAGGAAGTCGGGTCCCAGGGAAAAGGCTCTCGTAGGTTATTTTACGACGAACCCTCTCCCCTATGCCCCTTCTCTTGGTGCACACAGAAAGGCCAGCTGGGCCACGGTGACTTTGCGCAACGCAACGTCCCCGCCAAGCTTGCTGCTCTAGATGGGAAGTTTGTGATTGGAGGTACGTGGGCGCGTGAGGATTGTACACTCATGTGCCATGCACATATGTTCGCGAAACAACGCAACCACACTTGGCTTCACGTCGTGACACTTGGCGTTTCAGTTGGACCAACGTACCTGGACCCCCTTCTCTTACCCCCTTCCCACTTCCTCCTCCTCCTCAGCCTCCGGGGGTCGCAACCACAGCGCCGCCGTGTGCCAGGACGGCAGCTCCTTCGCCTGGGGCATCAACCAGCACGTGAGCTGCGGGAGGGCGGGTGGTGGGGAGGAATGACATGGGATGGATACCCCGCGGAGCGGAGGGGAGGGGAAAGTGCCATGCCATGGACGGAGGGGGGGGTTGGGGGGGCTAGGGAGGAGCGTGATATGTCAAAGTGGGGACGGGGATGGGTGGGGCAGTGGAAGAAGCGATGAAGGCGTAGATTCCACTGGGGACATCCCCTTTACCAGCGGTCCCCATCCCTTCCTTGGGCTGCCATGCCATGTCCCTCAGTGTTTCCTCGCGGCTCAGTTTATCTCCCTCTCCTTTCTTGTCCCCCAGGGCCAATGCGGTACGGGTGTTGTGAAGCCCGCCAAGGCGCCGCTCAAGGAAGGTGGGTCCCTCTGATGAGGGTTTGATGTCCTGTAGTGGATGGAGGTTCAGGTGGGGGGGTTCCACCCGCGGCTAGATACCGGTCGATAGGTCAAGAGAAAAACGTGTTCAAGCTTACTACCCATGATGAGGTCCTGTCATACGGTTAGTTGACGTCCTCCTCTTCACCTCTTCTCCCCGCCCTCCCCCCCAGACATCATCCTGACGCCCACCCGCTGCCTAATCGAGGGCTGCACCCAGGTGGCGTGCGGCATCGACTTCACCATGTGGATCTGCGACGGAAGGGTGAGCAGCCGGGGGGGGGGAGGTGCTTGGGTAGCTGGTGGGCTGGGGGCCGTTGTTTCAATGGGTGCGGACCTCTCATCTTGGTGTTACTCTGGCTTCCTATCCTGTCCATGAGTTCGGAATCTTGGCAGGAGTGGTTGGTTGGCTCTGTCGCTGGGTTTCGTGTCACTGCTCACTGCCCCTGCTCCCCTGACACGCGCACTCGCCCACCTGGACCCTCCGCTCCTCCCCGCCGCCTCACGTCCCCAGGTGATGACTGCGGGCAACGGGCAGTACGGAGTGATCGGGGACGGCATCGACCACTCGTACAACGCCAAAGACTGTGAGTTTCCAGAGGTTCCAGGGAAGGAGAGATGTGTTTCTCATTCTTGCCTCCCTCTCCCTGGTCCGCGCTGTTCCGCACCGTGCCTTGCAATCCCTGCACTTCGTGCCTCACTGCACTGCTGTTCCATTTCCCGACCTCCCCGGCCTAACCCAGCAAATACGACTATATTCATCTTATGCTTCAGCCCAGTGCGGAATCTCCATCCCCTATGAAACCCCCCTCCCCCACTCCCAGCCAGCATCCAGATCCTGTACGAGGCGGTCGCCACCCCCCGCCGAGTGGCGGGTCTGGACGAGGTGCGGGTGCTGCGAGTGGCGGCGGGACACAGCCACTGCCTGGCCATTGACGACCAGGGCTCCTGCTACAGCTGGGGCAACGGAGGGTACGGCAGGCTGGGGCACAAGGTGAGGCGGAGGGGAGGGGAGCGAGGGAGGAGGAGCAGGAGGGAGTGGGGCGTTGAGGGAAGGTGTTGGGAAAGGAACATGGTCCAACATATCGGACGGATTGGCCCCAAATGGCGTCCCTCTTCTCCCATTATTACCTGGTGCGCTACTGCGCTACCAAGCTCTTGACACCTCAAACAAGCCCTATAACCCGCCCCACCCCCTCCCTTCCCCCCATCTCCTTCCCCACAGATCCAGCAGGACGAGGACAAGCCCCGCAAGATCGAGGTGTTCACTCGCCGCAACCTGGTACCCAGCGATGCCATTGTAAGCAGGGCGGGCTTGGTGGGAGGGAGGCAGGGAGTGGGGAGGGAACAGTAGCAGTGCGGGAGGGGTGTGAGTGGGTCTCATGAGGCGGCCGCTCGCCGGGTTGTGGCAACGAGCGGTGGGCTTATGACATCAAAAAGATGATGTTGGCGTATCCATCCCCACATCATATCCTCACCTCTCTTCCTTGCACGTACCCGCGCCCCCGATCACTCTCCTCCTCACCCCCTCCGCCTCTTTCCCCCCCCTCAGCTGGCCGCCGGCGGCACCTCCTCCTTCTGCACCGGCGTGGCGGGTCAGGTGCACTGCTGGGGCAAGCTCAAGGTCAACGGAGACAACCAAATGTGGGTTTGGGAGGGATGTGGGAGCCGCCGCGAGGGGGCATCACCACTTCAACGGCCACCACGCACCGCAGTTACCAGCACCGTACCCTGTTCATGGAAATCCTTCCATCAGCTTCTACGCCTCCAGCGCTCGGTTGGGCAAGCAACTAGCCCAATAAACCCTCCAATTCCTTCCGCCCCTTGTCCTGCCTGTACTGTGCTCCTTACACCTCCGGCAACCCCACCATCCTGGTGCGCAGGTACCCTGTTCCCATCAACGACCTGGTCGGGTGGAACGTGCGCAGCTTCGCATGCGGCCCCGGCACCTTTGCAGCCGCCGCTGACAACTCGGTGATCACCTGGGGGGCGGCGACCAATGGGGAGCTGGGCTTTGGACCCAACAAGAAGAGCAGCGCCAACCCAGCAAAGGTGGGGACTGACATGGGGGTGGGGAGGTGGTGGTATGGGAAGGTTTTGGGTACGAGGGTACGAGGACTGATGAAGGGACAGTGAAGTCAGCTGTGTTGGTGGAGTCATATCTTGTGAGCCCAGTGTAGCTTATACCCAAGCTACACGCCTAACCTTTGCTAACCTGCACCCATCGCCACCATCACCATGTCGCGTCCCCCCACCACCACTCCCCCCCCCCCCAGTGCGAGCCCCTGGACGGCGGGCACACGCACCAGGTGGCTTGCGGCATCGGCTTCACCCTGTTCCTCGTCGACCCCAGCCACTCCAGGGTAGGGGGGAAAGAGGGTGTGGGAGGCCGGTTGCTGGCTTCCTGCTGCATGAGCCGTTGTGAAGAGTGTTTGCAGGCGCTTTGAGCTTTCAAACAATAGCTTGGTGCGAGGGGCTTTGTTGCCTTGTCTGGAAGCCCGCTGCATCACTTTCATGAAAACATCTTGCTTTCCTGGACTCCTCACTCCCTCTTGCAATTGCACCCGCTCAAAGACTTTGCCACTGACGCAGCCCATACCATCCTGTCTAACCTCATCCCGCTACCCTCCCATCTACCATTTCACTCCCCTGCGATTAACCCAGCTCTGTTTCCCACCACACACTCCCTCCAGCTTCCCGAGGCTCCGGAGTGGGAGAGCTCAATACCCGTGGAGGAGGCGCCTGCGCCCGAGGCGTTAGCTGCAGCGGGAGCCAAGGGCGGCAACAAGCGCAAGGCCGCTGGGGAGGGCGCGGCGGGGGCGGCTGCCAAGGGCAAGAAGGCCAAGTAGAGAAGCGGCGGTCGAGTGCGCAGCGCTTCCTCTTGTAGCTGTCTTCAGAAGGGAAAAAAGGAGGAGCAGCGGTGGGAATCAGTTAGCCATCGTTACAAATAGCAGCAAGGATGTCTGCAGTACCTAGGGTCTTGTTACCTTTGTTTGAGGAGGGGGGTAAAGAGGAAATCAACTTTAGTGAGGAAGGGGGTGTTGGGATGGGGGTCGGCATGCATGGTACCTAGGGGTGCACTGCTACCAGCAGGGCTGCAGGGCGTAGCTGCGGCGTGGTGCAGAAATGATGCCTCTTCAAGGGGGCTTTTCGGCCGTAGGCCAATGACCGACCTTCAGCAAAGCGACACCACGATATTGAGAGACTTTAAATGTTTGGAGGAAAGCACGATATGGTTTTACAGGGACCTCTCTAGGACTGGGCGAATGTAGGGAGTTTGGCATCCGCGGGAGTGGCGCTTAGGAGGGGAAAGGGACTGGGTATGGCCCCATCGTTGGCAGTGGTAGTGACGACTGACAGAGATCTAATTTCCCCACTGTTGGCTAGCGCAGCGCTGGGTGCTCTGGGTGCTTGTTTGACGGGCATCTCTCTCGCAAGCTTTCGTCCCTGTTGTATTGCCGTATCATCATACAGCAATTGCGTCTGCCGTACCTTGAAAGACCACACCCGTTACGGAGTTGGCAAGCCTCTTGGCACGTCATACTCGTGTACTCTAGCTTGTTGAGCCTAAGATGATTACGCCACTGTCGGCAACGATGATGTTGTGGGATGGTCAATGACCAGCTTGGGGGGGGGGCGCAAAACTCAAGGCAACGGGCTGTCGGAGGGGCGGTCGCCTTTCAGACAGTGGCTTCCTTGCTGCGGGGCCTAGTGCACGGTTACGTGGCTTCCGAAAATGTACAAAGAAACGACTTCGTTTGTCGCCTGGAGGGTGCTGGACCTAAGGCTTTGCGCGGGTTGCCTACGTTGTCTCCCTGTGACATGTCAGGCGCAGAAAATCCTCTGTTGCCGTCCATGTGTTACCAACATTTCAGACAAATACCTAAGCCCTTTGCTATTGTCGTTTAGACGCCGTACGGCCATCAGTGGATTAGATGCCTGCAGACCCTGAGCAGTCTCTGCACTCATGCTGTGTCTGCCTAGCCTAGGGGCCGTCCGTCAGTACTAATGGAGCTATTGCATTGAAGCACCCTTAACTTCACTTGACGCCCACACAACGTAAAAGGGGGATCATGGAAAAACCAAAAGTACGGTATTGTGGTGATGGGGGGGGGTTTGGGATGTAGACAGCTGACCGGCAAAGCACTGGGCCCGAATCCTTGCATGTCCGGCTGTATACCACTGTAAGGCTCACGCAGTCACCGGCAACTAGTGCTCACCCGCGCGGCCGCGTCACTGCCAGCACATCCTGCACCTTGTCGCGCCCGGTGTTTCCTGTCCTGTGGATAGTTAGCTTAGTTACGTGCCTGGACGGGTAAGCGCCGCACATGGCTACATGCACCGTTTTTAGCTTGTGCTTCCATCGGCATGTGGGTACCGTTGCATATGTGGTGTCCCGTGGTTCAGGACTGCTGCAGGGAAGGCCGGTGCTTCTAAGGAAGTTTGCGCGAGCATCGAAGTTGGACGCTTGGACCGGTGGTTTTTAAATCTGTGTGGTGAACACACGGTCTTTGGGCTTATAAGTTGCTGCAGTGCGTTCATAAGGGAGTGTGACAACGGAAAGCTACCGGTATGCGCATGTAGCGTGGCCATATCAGTGCCGTACGAGCAACGTGCATGGCTGTTACGTGCGAGCTAAGTTTTGTTTGTTCTTTCCATGACGGCCTGTTTGCTGCACGCCAGCTGTCTAGCGTGCGCGTGTTAGGAGGTGCACTGAATTCAACCTCATTCTTCCTGTTACCCATGTTTTTACCCGCTTCCAAACACACCAATCTAAGGAACATGCTTGCCCGGCAAGGATGGGCGGCTCAAACACGCGTGGGGCTACAGGACTGCTGCAGAAGCAGGGATGGAACATCGCGTAACCCACCGGCTTGGGACGCGGTTGTTAGGTGTTGTACAGCTATAAACGTCTAGTGCTCACGTGAGTTGGTGAGTTGGATGCCTGCTACGCCCAGCTAAACCACGGGTCTGTAAAACAATTAATGGGGGTAACCTATGTAAATGTCGTCAACGCGTGGTTCAAGTTTTGTACAAGCGAACCCTAATAGCGCCGCTGGTGCACGCGGCAAAGAAGCAAAATCTCTTATTATGGATGTACGTGATGAAGGTTACATGCTATCCCTGAGCTGGGCGGTTGTCTCTTATGAGGTTACCTGGTCAGCACTCACGGCTACGGGTCGCAATCAGCGGAAAGGTAAAAGATGTAATGCACCGTTGCGCATACAAATGGCGCCAGGTTAAGCTGTCGCCATAAAGATTATGTCGAGGCTGTGAGCGGTATGACATCAAAGTTACCAACCTTTGTGCTTATCCACCAGACGCGTATCAGGCAGTTAGGATTGCGTGCATTTCCGTACCACGTCCGATCAGCATATGCCAGCAAGGCAATTTCACAGCCGGGTGAAGAGAATCCGACTACATGACGTTTACATCGAAAGTCATGTTGAACGCACGGCCAACAAAGGAGTTCGTTTCGCAGCCCTCCTGGAGCGATCCCCAAAATATCCGCCGTCGTGAAGACTTGACCTAGCCCAATACAACTTTTCCTAGATTGCTGGTGTATGGCTATTGTGTAGCGCCCTATTTGACTTCCAGATACTACTAAAAGACGAGGAGCATTGGCGTTGGTGCAAGCTTCACACCGAAAGCGTCGCGTGAAGCAGCTGGACGCACTTGTGGACCCCTAGCATGACAAGCTTTGGTGACGACGATGGCCAGGGCTACAAGGCGTCTGCAGGTTTGTAGTCGGGCTCGCGCCAGGTGACCATTCTACTGACAACCAGCGTCTTCTCTTCTACACCTGGGCCTGGGCGCGCATCCTTTGCTTTTCTTGCTTGTTGTCTACTAGAGATACTTCTCCCGTCTGGTGTGCGGGCATGAGGTAGTGCGGTCTCGTGCTTCGCAAACTCTTTTCAGCTACTGGCCATTTTGCGCCTGGCCAATGTCTGCCCACAGATGACAGTGCGATAACACTTGAGGAGATGGAGCAGGCCGAGATTTCCCCAGCCGCGGCCCCTTCCGTTACGCGTGTCCCGCTGCATGGACCAGTGAGTTACTCTTTAAAAGGGATCTGCTAGGTTAATACCTTATGTGATTACCGCTTAAAGTACACACTCCACATTGCTGCTCATAAAGCCCATAGTAGGCAATTATTAGTCCAGGCAGTAGGCCAGGCCTGAGCTTCGCAGGACTTATTGAGGATGTCTCGTATAACTCTTTCAGATCCCTTATTAATACCTTATGACGGATGCTTCTATGTTTTGGATGTACGCAGGTGGATACCTACGATGTAATGTGCGCGAAGGTTATTTTCGCCCTCTGTGGCAGCGTCTTCCCACACCCACTTTTACTAGCCCAACAGATATTGGGTATTGAAGATCAGGACTTCCAGGAGTTTCAACTGGTAGGTGTGTCTGCTAAGGTGCAGCCTGCAGTGTATACGGTGTACTATCCTGAGCCATTGAGCCTAGAGACGTGCGTCCCATGGATCAGTAACCTATAGTATATGCTTGATTATGCTTTCCACAAATATTGGGAATGCAAGTTTTGCTTGTCGCTCCTCACCGTCTCGTTGTGCTGCTGTTTCGCAGAATGTCGCGGAGGCTGGCAACAACTGCATCGATATTGTTGCCGCGTACCTTACCAACCTTCGCGTGATGCAGCAAGAGGAGGAGCCCAGCCCGCCTGTCTCCACGGCCATGATTCAACCACGCCATGCCGCTACCGTAGCCTCCGTTGCTGCCAAGGCTCGGGACTTGCTATCTGAGTTAGCGCTAGCTCGCGTTACGGTCAAACCTCGCAAGGCACCAAAGAACAAGGCCATTGAATCTGCTGCTCGTGCTGCAGCCGCAGCAGCTGCTGCTTCCTCCACAACACCAGCCTCCAGCGCAGCAGCGTCAGCCGCGACCAGCACCATATCTTGCTCAACCGGCGGTGGCAGCAGTTGCATCAATAGCGAGGAGATTGCGCTGTTGGATACTCCATCAGACGCCTGCCACGCTTTTGTGGAGGAGTGCATGATTTCCGGCTTTGAGGATGTCGAGGACGCCAGCAGCTGTCTGGGCCACCAGGACACCTCCCGCGAGGGCAACACGCCGCGCACCGTCCGTGAGGAGGAGGAGCGGCTGCTGTATGCGCTGCAGGGACCCGACGCCGCGGAAGAAACGTTGAAGATGGCTCGTGCCAAGCCTGCAGGTAGGGGCGCTGGCGGGCGGCAGGAGGTTTAGCGGTTGCTTGCTGGATGTGGGGTAGGGAGTGGTTCTTGCACGATGGTTCCCTGCTTCGCTGTATTGAACGCTGTGTAACGCCCTTTTGTCCCCTCGCTGTGCTGCTTCTGTAGGTTGCAAGGGCCCTGCCGCCGCTGCCAGCGGTGAGACCGGACCCATTGCTGACACGCCTCTGGTCGCCGCCAATGACGACAGCAGCATCAGCGCTACTGCCGGCGTCGCACCCTCCGCCTCCTCCCTCGTCGCCTCTGGAAACAGCGTCAGCAGCAACAGCGGCCGCGCTTCAGCTGCTCCCCCGCCACCCCCGCCCTCCCGCGCCGCCTCCACCGGCGCCGCCTCTGCAGCCCTAACCACCAGCGCCTCTGCAACCACTGCTGCTCGGCACGGCGGCCAAGACACCGCCAGCAGGGGCAGCGCTGGCAGCGGCATCGCCACCGGCGCAGTGCCCTCCGCCGCCGCCAACCTGTCCAACGCCATGTCGTGTCCTGTCACCGGGCTGACAGGGCTGCTGGCCTCCTCTCCAGGCGCCTCCTCCACCTCCTCGCTGCCAGCCGCGGCCGCCCCCAGCCACGTGAGCGGCGGGGCCTCTGTGGGCTGCGCTACAGCTGCGAATGGTGCGCAGCAGCAGTCACATAACCACCACCACCGCCGCGCGCAACACCAGCAACAGATGGTTCATCAGCTTCAGCAGCACCAGCAACATCAGCTGGGTGTTACCGGCGGCAATGCCAGGCGCAACAACGGTGGCGGTGCAGGTGGTGCCAGCGGCCTAAGGACGTCTCCTCCGCCTGCGACGTCGAGCCTTCAGCAACACCTCCAACAACAGCAGCAGCAACAACAGCAGCAGCAGCAGTTGGCAGTTGCGCAGCTGCTTGGTCTCCGTGCGTATGGCAACAATACTTACGGCAACCTTGCAGCCCTGCAAAACTCGTCGCTTGCAGCTGCCGCTGCTGCTGCTGCTGGCGCTTCCGGTGCCACCAACCTCGCACCCTACAACTCCGCCTCTGCTTCCTCTGGCCGCCTAGACCTCAACCTAGGTTCCTATTCCGCCGCCGCCTTTGAGCAGTTAGCAGCCGCACAACAGGTGGCAGCGGCACAGCAGGCGGCAGCACTCAATGCCGCCGCCGCTGCCGCCGCCGGCAACATGCACTCCCTGAACCAGCAGCTCTGGCAGCCGGTTCCGGGGTTCAACAGCTCCGCATTGCCCGGTCTGGGTCAGCTTTCCGGCCAGTTGGGATCCTCTCCTAGCAGCTTGGGCGGCCTGGGCGGGGCGGCTCTTCTGCAGCATCACCAGCACCAGCAGCAGCAGCAACAACAGGCTGCTGCTGCTGCTGCTGCCGCGACGCTGTTTCAGGCCGGCGGTGGCGGAATGCTGCTGGCTGACAGCATGAGCGGCATGAAGGGCGCGGCTGCTGGCGCGACTGACCCATGGGCCAATATGCTGTTGCAGGCACGGCTAGCGGGCTCCCTTGCTTGATTGAATGGTGCTTTCCTGCCATTACTACTATGCTGTTTGCTGGTGCTGCAGTTTCTGTTGGTTCCTTGTGCTGCGTTGACTGCTAGCGTTTAGAGAGGCCGGTACGGCTCTCGCCTTAACTCGCGCCCAAGAGTGCCTTTTTGGGTTTTGTTGGGTCGCATTGCATGCGAGGTATGGATTTTGACGCGTCCTGGCGTGCCCCACCTAAAATGTATGTCTGCCAAGCGGCGAAAAATGGAGTCGTCTGTGGATGATGAGGGTTATTGCTGGGTATCACCGGAGAGAAAGCGGCATGCTTGGCGTACTGCGTCCGCCTCTATTTGGCTGGGCGACGGGGTTGAGACCGCGAGGAGCACAGATTTGAGGGTTGCTTTGCACTTGAGAAGACCAGACGGGGTGATGAGAGAGGGGGCGTTACGGCTTCAGGGACGCATTCTCCCTCTCCCGTGCGCCTCGCCGCGCGTTCAATTTCGAGCACTTTATTTGAGCCAAGTTGATGTTTATTGCTACGTTCTCGGAAGCACACGCCTGTGTTTCCTGACGGACGGATGATGATGCATAACGGCAAGTAAGGGGCTTTTGCTGCACTGTTGTGGTTCCTTTGCTGCTTCCCCATTTGGTCAAGGGGCTTTTGTATCGGCGTCCCATTGTTCGCCGCCTCCTAGGGAAGCGAGTGGGAGTTGCAGACGACGTACGGCCCTGCGGGGTAATCGTTGCAGCAGAGAGAGAAAAATGTATGAGAGCTGTTTTACCTAAAGCTCGGATTGCGACCCGTGGAACATGGTTGCGACATTACACCGATACGCCGACCCGGCGGTTTTGGAATCAAGCGGATTCTCCCACTTACGCGTTTACCTGAAATATAGTTTTCATCCATGTCGATGGCGCAACGCTTCGTTCTTGTCGATTTGGTCAGGTCGGATCTTGTAGGCCTAACCGATGCGGCGAGTTAGCGTGGCCAGCGGTCGTGGATGTGCGGTGCGAAAGGGCGCTGTGCGGTTAAAGCAAGAGGGCATGCGTGTTTGCGCGTTGAGTAGCGGCGGGTGCGCGGGGCATGTTGCCTCGTCGCGCTGATCTTCTGCTTATGGTCAATCAGTCAGTCCGTCTGTCTACCTAGGCGCGTCCTGGTCCGCCCTGCGTTGCTTTGCCTCCGATACTCCTAAAGTACAAGAGATGTCACGACACAGAGGGTACATCGCAAGTCGTAATTGCGCGTTAAATGTATGTAGCCACTAGTACTGGTTTTAATCCTTGAGTAGTTCCTCCAGAGTTTCATGATTTTTGGACTGTGTCGCACAGGAGTGAAGACGGTATGGTACGACGAGGGGGGGAGTTGGCAGTAATCGTGTCTGGCTATTTTGCACGGGACGTTTTTTGGTTCCGCAACGCTGGATAAAGACCCTTAGAGCTCCTGCACTTTGGCTTCTTAGGGGCTGATTTCGTTCTATGGAATCGTGAGTGGCGATTGAGGAGTGAGGGATCCGATGGCGTGTGTTGTAGAGGCATGGTTGGATGGTGATTTCTGGGTTGGAAGGTTTGATGAGCGATTCATAATTCCGTTGTTTTGTGCCCTTTGTTGCGGTTCCGCGTATGTTCCGCGTTGGCGTTGCTCTTGCTGTTAGTATCGCAGTCGCAGTATAGCACAGTGCTCCGGACCTCCATAGCGGAGTGGCGTCCAGCACTCCGGAGCGAATCGTAGCGGGCTGCACCTGCACTCCCCGGGATGAATGCGGGCCTCGAATGTTGTACGGCAGGACATGTGCGAACGATGGCGGCCAGGGGCGGGTGTACGGTCCGTACCCCGCATGCGGCTGCTCCCTTAACCGTTGCTGGACCTGACAGGATGCAGCTGCTGTGGGTGCGTCAGTGGCGTGGCTGGGTGGCCCGTGTTCTTGCCGTGGTGTTAATTGGAGGCTGGCAGCCCAGTTCCTGGGCAGTGCTCGCTCGGCAGCAATGTTCCCATGATCGTTGTGCTGGTGTGCACTTCGCGGTGTCCTGGCGCCCTCGGGATCTGTCAACTGGGCTGGGCTGCACACGTGCGACCGTGAATGACCGCGAATGAGAGTCTTGAGGTGCCCATGTAGCGCCAACCCTTTGAATGGCCCGCATGGTACCGCGGCTGCTGCGGGGATTTGGCTTGACGGGTGACTTACAGGGCGTCGCTGATGCGACATTGAGCGGATGACAATTGCCGTGTCGGTCGGTTTGCCCTTTGCTGAGCCTATGAGCGGTACCTCCTTTTGGGTCTTTCCTGCTGTTCGGAGCGTCACCTTTCCGCTTTCCTTGAGACCCGTTGTATTGTATAATGTACGTCACCAAAACGATGGCCTCCATCTGTTGAGGTTGTCCCGTTGTGAGTGGGTGTGTTACACAAACGGGCATACGCACCGCTGTAGGGGAGGTGCGGAGTTGACTTGTTCTATAATGTTTATCGAGAGGGTGTTCTAGCGCATGGCAACGGTTTGGTATTTTGTGGTTTTGGGTGCTTCTGCTCGAGGGCCATGCATGTGGGATGGTTGCATGCTGGTCAGGAGATCCTTCGCGCGTAGGAGGCAGGCGGGCCACTAGACACTCGTTTTCGAAGCTTGGGCTATCGTTTGGCACCAAGGTTCTTCAGTGTTGAGCTGTGTGCATCGCGGTTGACGTTGATCGTTCTGATTGTGCCTGGGGATGGCGCGGTTGGGAATTTGTATGGGTGGTTGTTAGGGTCGTTTGTGTGGGCTGGTACGTGGTTGTGTTAACGGTTGAGAGATGCGCGAGAGCATTGTTGTTTGAGGTTATCATCGTTGGTGCGCGTGAAACGACGGCAATGTGAAGAGGGAGCGGTTCAGGTCAGGTTTTTCTTTAGTGCACTTAACTTTCTGACACGCACGAGAGATATAAATCTGGCCAGGAAATTCCGATCTGATGTTATGGCTTCTTTCGTTTGTATCGACAGTGGGTACACAGTACTGTCAAGCCTAATGTTGGTGAGGGGTGGGCTGTTTCGCGGGCGCCTCCAACAAACACATTGACGTTTATCCGTATTGGATGCGGTGCGGGTAAGGGAAGAAGGGCGATGTGTGCTCTACGTTGCGTTTTTGTAGTTACTGGCGCCATTGATTGAGCGCGTATCATTGATGGGATGTTAGCGTTGCTTGTATCGCGGGTCTCTTCAGTGTTTCTGCTTCCGAGGGAAAGATTTGAACGACGCAGAAAGTCGACAGGGAAGGGACGTCCATTGGTGCGAGTATTGCGGTGTCGCATGTGAGAGCTTGCGGACCCTTCACGCCAGCAAGATACGTTCCTGCGCCTTCCTTCAGGGCAGAGTCACCGCCTTTGCGGGAACGCTGGTGGGTTGCGGCACGTAGCCTACGTTCACTGCTTCCTTACTATGGACGTAACCTGATGCTTTTCGGTCGGCCACGGCTGGTGCGCATGCCGCTTTATTGGTGGCATTTCGGACGTGGCAGCCGCATTGCTGTTTTATATTTCAGAGCGTGTGTGTATGTGGTAGTGGTAGTTTCCGGGATGGGCCCTTCGCATCTGTTTGTTTACCCTCGGGGCCCCTCCTGGTGCGTACGATGCGTCATACGCAGGGTTTCCCACAATAACACGGCTTGCCGGCTTTTGTGCGTTTAAGGAACGTCTGCTAATTTTCGCCAGACGTGGCATTAGTGTTTCAAGGTGTTGGCGTTCCGCAGGTATTTTGGCCCCACTGGCACATATCATCCGTCGTCGATTTCATTACTGCCCAATCGTGAAATGCATAAATTCGCCGACTATTTTATTGCGATGTTGTTGATCATCTTTTGTTATGTGCTCCCCCCAAAAGGGAGCACACGAGGATAAACACGAGTATAAAATTTCTTGGATCTGTCGGCCTTAATACAGGCTGTCCTTTGCAAACATCAAAATGTAACGCCGTACTACACCCTTGATGGCTGAACCCGGCTGCACCGTCTCGGTCACCTTCTTGGCCTGAAGCAACTTCAGCAACAACGCCGCAAACTTTACGGAACCATTAGGTGACTAATCGTAAACGGGTCGTCATACATGTTGTCGTACACCTCAATTAGCGCGGCTTACAGTAAACCGCACCTCCCGAACACATCAACCCCAGCTACTGCCTTGTCAAGCATGGGAAAAACCCTGCGTCACGACGCTTGTAAGCCTAAGAAGGCTATAGCTGCAGCGGATACCTCCCAACACCTGTCACCACGCCGAAAACGTCCTTGCGGTGTGTGCTAGCCTGGTGCAAGCAGTCCCGTTCTGCAGGACGGCGCCGCTAGGCATGCGCGCACTGCAGTGGGGGTTGCCCTCTTTGACATACGGAAGTAAGATGCCGAGCCAGCGATGTTTCACAGGATTCACAACACTGAAGGCACCTCTCCTCCCTCCCTGCTGCGATGGTGCTGAAGGTGATGAAGGCAGGCATTTTCATCCAGCACTCAGCGACGCTCATCCAACGGCATCACAACAGCAGCATCACGATACGTTCGTACGCATTAAGTACACGACAAGAGAAAGGCAAGAACGCTAGGCGACGGCAGAGCACTGGAAAAGGCAATACCAAAATCTCCCGCAGGCAGTACCAGTCGTCCCACACAGCCCTTCTCCTGCACGTACCCCCACCAGCACACCCTGGCGAACGAAACACATGAAACACCCCGACCCAGCCACATGCATGCCATACGCACACCTGTGATACTCCTTGTCATGCTACCGTATCTAGCGAGTTAGTTTGTTCCCCACGTCTGCACACGTGCCCGATGTCACCTTCCGGCGACTTAGCGGCTTGTGGCACCCCGAGCCAGATGCAACACCCTCCTACGTTAGCGGAATTACCCAAAATGAGTCTACCACAGCAGCCGCCAAGACACCTCAGCAACACAACACAGCATGAGGCAACGTATCTTGCTTCCCGGACGCACGGCTGCATGCTCTTATCTTCTTTCCTCATGCAGCCTGTACGACAGTGGTACGACATTGTACGGCAGAGCGTAGCGCAGTACGCGCGCTAATAGGCCTTTCCTGTACACTGTACCACACGACTGTCGTACAACCGTTTGCACCATGGGCACCGCCTAGCTAGCCGCCCTGCCTTACTTACTTACTTTGTGGACCCCCCGTCCTCCAACCTGCTTGAAATTCACTTCGCCCGCAGCACAAACTTTCATGCTATCCGCAAGCCGCAAAGGAAACGCATCTCGTGCTTTAAGTAATGACAGCGGGTGTAATGACCACTTGTATATACAAGCGAGCTCCCATGCGGCATACAGAGGTTGCGTATCCTGGCCTTCTTCCACAGGTGGTGGGGTGTTGTACCGATCCCAGTCTAAGCCACGTACGCGCTCCGACGCTCCCTCCTTTCCTACTACGACATATCCGTACACAAAATTAGTAATTCGTACGTTTAGAAAGTATACCGTTGACCCGCCGTAACAAGCGTAGCGCGAAAGAAAAAAATGGAAGGAGTCAGCCCCGCAACTCCAAAGCAACGTATGTATATCTTGAACCTTAGCGGACCCCTTTACCTAACACATGCATCAAAGGTTACGTTGTTCAGTACCGCCCTCCAACCAACCGCCCAACCGCCAGCCAACCCTACCAACTCTAGCCAACCGTCTTCCACAGCCAACAGCTCCGTCAACCACCAACTACCCCCCAACCCCGCTAATTACTTCAGGTTCTCCACCCTGCTTGCAGTCACCACCACCACCGCCACCGCCACTGCTGCTGCCGCCGCCGTTACAGCCGCTGGCCCGCAACTGGCGTCGCGGGGGGCGGTGCTGAGGGCGGTGAAGGTGCTGCTGCGGGTGCTAAGGCTGCTGCTGCGGGTGCGGGTGCGGGTCGGCGCTCCAGCTGCAGCCCCACGTCTGCCGCCATGGACACCAGGGATTCCTGCAGGAGAGAGGGGGCGGGTGAAGAGGAAGAAGGTACCCTGAGGTAGCCCTAACCGTGTGGGTGTGGATAATAAGGGGGGGGACAGAGAAATCGACGTGGGGCGGCGGGTTTCGAAGTGTCAGCAGAACAGTGGGTTTTGAGGGGAAGGGCTTGGAAAGGGGGGGATGGCTGGAAAGGAAGGAGGCACTGACCAGGCCTGACAGTAATGAAAGGAAAACGGCGGCCGGACATAGATGCGTATGTAGCGGGGTTTTCAACTGCTACCTCCTGCCTCCCTCCCTCGCTCCCCCTCCCTCCCCCCTCACCATCACTCGGTCGAGGGAGGGGCGCAGCCTGGGGTCCGCCGCCGTACATGCCCTGCTGAGCGCCACCAGCTGGGGGGAGGCGGCGGGGGGGAAGGGCAGCTGCATGTGTTTCATGCCCACGTTGTAAACGATCTGCCCGGTGTTCATGCCCGACCAGGGCCGGCATCCCGTGTACATCTGCCACAGCAGCACGCCGAAGGAGTAGACGTCGGCGGACTGCGGCAGGAGGAGGAGGGGGTGGGAGGGGGGGGGGAGCTGTGAGATGAGGAGGTGGGGCGTGGAGTGGAAAGTTAGCCTTTGAATACTGGGGCTGCCGGGGCGGGTGTGCCCTGCCACAAACACCTTGTGCCCCCACCGGCAGCAAGCCGCAGGTAGGGCTGCGAGTCTGGAGTGACCCACCGACCCACCGACCCACACCCGGACCCCTTCAGTGCCCCCTACCTTGCTGACAACCCCAGCCACCAGTGTCTCCGGGGGCATGAAGGTAATCTGTCCGGAAGGAGTGGAGGCAGGGAGAAGGGGAGAGGGAGGGGACAAGGCAATGAGAGACGGTCTGAGAGCAGGAGACGGCGGCACGCCGCTCTGCATGCAAACCACACCCCACGCCTTCGCATCCCCCCCAGCAGTTCTGACTGGGGTGGGCTGCAGGCGCTACAGATCCACCTGACACCCAACTAAGGGCCCACCAAGACGGTGCCCCGGAGGCTCATCACCCGCCTCCACGTCCCCTGCCTCCCTCTCTCTCTGTCTCCCTGCCTCCCTGCCTCCCTCTCTCTCTGTCTCCCTGCCTCCCTGCCTCCCTCCCTCCCTGCCTCCCTCCCTCCCTGCCTCCCTCCCTGCTTCCCATGTTGACGCCTTATCCCTCAGTCAGTTAGTTGTTTCCTCTTTACTCCCTGCTTCCCTACCAACCTCCTCCCCCTGCCTCCCTGCCTCCCTGCCTCCCTGCAGTGGGGCCCCCCTCACCGTTCCGAAGGTCCTGGTGCGTATCTTGGACTGAACCTGCAGCAGCCGACTCAGCCCGAAGTCAGCCACCTGGGGGGGGGGGCGGCGAGGGAGGGGGGGGGCAGCGGGGAGGGAAGTACATGCCTTACCAGGCGGGAGACGAAAGGCGTCAGCGGGAGACGGAGGGCGTCAGCGGGAGATGGAGGGATGGGCCCAGGGGTTAAGGATGCGAAGAGTACCGGTATACAGGTAGGTAAGTGCACGAGAAGCAGTACGACACACATGTGCACCAGGAGCTGTTGCGGACGCCTACCCAACGAACCAATCCAACCAACCAACCAACCACAACGTGTGTCCTTAATCAACCAATCGACCAACGAACTAACTGCCCAACGGACCTTCGCCACAAAGCTGCGACCGCAGTTGCGGCACAGGATGGGGGCGGGGCTGCCGGTCCCAGTGCCGCCGGATGGGCTGGCGCTGCTAGTGCTAACGCCAGCGGGCAGGCTACCGCCGCCGCCGCCGCCAGCACCTCCGCCGGCGCCGGCGCCGGCGCCAGCCACGGTGCCGTACGGCGGCAGCAGGGCGCCTGTCGCCACGTCTGCGCTGCCGCCGCTGATGGTGCGTCCCGGCGCCTCTGTTGTGGAGGTCTTGGGGCTGAGCAGTGATGCGCGGCTGTTGAGGCTGGTAGTGGTGTCGGAGCGGGTGTAGGGGCTGCAGATGTGGCGCGGCGAAGAGGCCGAAGAGGTTCGGAGAAGGCCGCCACCGCCGCCAGGCAACGCGGTTGATCCCCCGGGTTTCGGAGCTGCGCTTAAACCACCGCCGCCACCGCCGCCGCCGAATGCGTTGGACATGGCCGCAGCCATGGTGGCAGTGCTGCTGCTGCGCGGCGAGCCGGTGAGTACGGCAGAACTGCCTCTGGATCTGTCGTACGGCGAGCTGCATCGCTCCAGGGAGACCAGCATGACGTTGTGGCCCGTCAGGTCACCGTGTACGATACCCTGGTGGTTGGGCAGTTGGGCGGTGGAGTTGGTTGGGAAGGTGAGGCGGAGGTGTGAGGACGCGACACATGGCTCGTCAGTTGAGGGAGGGAAGAGCACACATATGTTACGTGGCAGCGACGCAAGACATGACAGTACGACAGACTATGCCCGGGTTCGTGCCGTACATGTCGTACATACCCACCAGCCCATGCAGGTATCGGAGCGCGGATGCCACCTCCAGCGCCGTAGCGATGAGGGCGCGCATATCCACGTCCCGTCGGGGGGGCTGCCGTACATCACTGCCGCCTCCGCCTCCGCCTCCGCCGCCGTCACCCAAGGTGCCGCCGCTGCATGCAACGGAGGCGGGATACGCAAACAAGATGGCGGATGGACGGCGACTCTTGCCGGATGCCGTACTGGCGGCGGCGGCGGCCGTGACGGCGGCGGCGGTGACGTTGGCGGCGGTGCTGCTGCCGCCGCTGGGATGTACGGCAGCGGCGGGGTCCGTCGGGAGCTCGAAAAGACCCTTTTCCAGGGCAGCCTGTGGAGAGGGGCGCGTGAAGAGGAGCAGAGCAAGCGTCATTGGGGGAGGTTAGGGGGTTCGGGCTATGGAGGTACGGCAATGGTACGGCAGTGTTATGGCAATGGTACCGCAGAGCTCTGCGCAAACTGCTGAAGCTGAAGGACAAAGACGTTGCAGGAACGTCTTTTGAAGCTTTGTGGCGCGCAGCGTTGACACTCACTCCGCCGCCACTGCACCCCCCCCACCCTTACCTGCAGAGTACCTAGGTCGCAGTACC